GGAGTAGACCGTTGACTTCATTAAAATATAATATACGACGACATAATAAATTACGGCTTTAAAAATCGATAATCGCCACTCGAACGAATTAATTAACATCAATAAAAATCTCGTTAGCAGCCCTACGTAACAAGGTGTGCGGTCAAACAGACCCTCACTTTTAATTATCATTTCACACGAAGTTTTCTTATACGTATTTCAAAATCGAGTGTGTCACTTAACCCGTTAGCTGCGGGCTGTCCCGAGCCACCGCGTTTGGTAACGACCGGCCATTTATGTCCAGCCCGGTATGGCAGCCGGCCCCGCGTCGCCATATATGGGTTCGAGAGTTGCATTCTGCGCTTGTAACGCGATACAATTGTGGTAGAACTTGGAAATTAATTTACAGCGCTCACTGTCGGGTGCAGCATCCATATTCGGCGAGATAAAAAATAGAATACTTAGTACTCGCCTCAGTGGCTGTTTACGAAATTGTTAAAACCTGTTTCTCTTCATCTGTTTCCAATATTTATTTCTGTCAGATTGACTCAAATATGCACCATTTTTATCATAACAGTGTTGTAAAAACCGCTATTAACGATTTGACGAGCCACTTATTACGAAATGTTCGCAGCAATCAAGCAGTCGATAGTATCCGAGCAGTTGACATCAAATCGAATCAACGCTATATCTGTTATTACTACCATAAAAGCACTCAAGTGTCGGGAGCGAGATCACTATCTAGTAAAGTAATATCCTTTTCGGCTAAGACCTACTGAACCTCTTATTGTCGTAAGGAAACTTCATATGGCAAAAAAGTTATGTGGTCTTGTCAGTCTGCGGCGGCCATAAATCATAGGGGGAGTGACGTTGAGACATATATCTACTTGTTGATCTAACTAGTACGACGGTAGAATATGTACAATAATGATATTCAGCTACGAGACGAGCTGGGAACATTTCCGCGTGTGTCACTCAATAGTTATCTTAGAAAGTTATGAAGACTTGCAGATGTGTGTCTTCGTGTGCTGGCAATGAATTGGAATATCGCGTCCTCATTTACCCGAAGTAGCAAATGAAATATGTAAAAAGTTGTGAAGTCCGCAATTGTGTACCGCAGTTCATAAAGTCGCCCGACATGGGTGTGGTCGGACCACCACATAATATACTTTATGGCATTGCGATAAAGGAGATAGGAACGATAATTCCTTATACAGACGGTTGTAAAACCAAGTTGATAATTGAGACGACTCCCATATTACAGTCATTGCATGTATAATTTGTTTTCGCAACATTTCGTTGTACTTTATTAACAATGTGAGTACTTTGGGCATGCCATTAAGATCACGAAAGCGATTTTGACTCTTTACACGCAGGTCATAATTTAAATCATTCTTTTAGTGGACGTTAATGATTCTTATCAACATCGTGTTCGTGTTGTCATCGCTTTAATATTGTCTGTTCAATCCCCAAGCGGTCACCGGTGACCGCTCTCCACTAACTCCATTATAGTCCTTATTTCCGATGTTTAGAGATGATTTTTATATGGAAAATTTTTGGGAATTTTCGATATGATATATCAACGTATTAAATAATTCAAAAAAGTCACATATCCTGTCACTGCGTAATCTATTTCTAACACATCAAATGCAGCAAAATACGTTTATCAAACATCTGTATGTCAAATTGATGCCATTTCCTGCGTATCGCAGTGCCAACAACACTCAGTCTGCATTCTCACCGCCACCTATCAGTAACTTGGAGTAACTGCTATACTGATAAACTTTGACATTTTATCACTACAGTACACATTTATATTGATACGTAAATTTTACAGTTTCATTGACCGCTTCTGATTTATATCGCTATTTATGCGGTTGCAAAATTTATGACGCTGCGTCATTATATTTATAAATAGGCAGCCGATTGAAGAATAATGTACAAGCGTAGTTTGTTAATTAAAGCTCTCGTTTTATAGCAAAATAAATTAAACATACTATTGTTTACTTAAAGGCATACTGTTTAATGAAAAAAGGCTATAATTCCCTTATCGTAAACGAAATGATATGCAAACAATTCTCTGTGTGAATTAATTGCTCAAACGTAAAATAAGGTTCATTAAAAGAATCAAAATTCAACCCTCGTTCGCTAAAACGTCACGAGTCGTTATAATTAAAAAGTAAAAATGACCAATTAACTAAGCGGGTGTATATTGAAAGTCCTATTTTCGGAGAGTCGTGATCTTATCGTACCGATCGGCTTCCGATCTGTCCGGACACGTGCGACGAATCACGACTAGTGACTCACGACGCGCGCTTTGTCGTCAGTTTTTCTCGCAATAGTTATTTATTGGTGTCGTGATCGGTCCGCGCGCGGTCACGCTCGCGTTTGAGGGTTAACTTGCAACGGATTGTTTTGATGTTACTATTCAATAAACTGTTTGATTTATTTGAGCTTTATGGCGCTTCATGGTCGTAATCGTGAATTGGTCGTTTAGACCACGATCAATGCAACACAAACGCAGACAGACGAGACAGACAATACATGTGTTGTGTCTATATTGTTCCAATTTTACGTTCACGACTTTTCGTAACTTTGTTTTGCAAAAACAAAGAGGGTGAAGATTATTAGCAAACAGAAATTCCCGCCCCATGCAAGGGAGTGTTTATTGCCATATTTTTAGAACCCACTTTAAGTGTGCACTTCAACCTGCCTTCATTTTTACGAGAAAAGAGAATAAATGAAAACTAAGTACTTCACACTTTGACTTTCTTGCAGTTTTATTAAAGAAGGGGATCGGTGGTACTCATAATATTCAACATCATTTTGAATACCAAATATAAAAGAATAATATAATTTGAATATAAAAGTATACCTACAAACTACCAAATATAAAAGAACAAAATAAAACATCTAAAATTAAAAATAATCCCAAATAAAAAATGGACACTCGAAAACAGAAATGTTTAACCATAAAATAAATTCTAATTTCGTAATAAAAGCGTCAAAAATGGATCCATACATTTCAATCACCTACCACGAGTGCACAATACGATCGAAATGAGATGATGCGTCGAAAACTCGAAATGTTTTCATAACATACTCTACGGTTTTTGTAAAGAAATTCACTCACCCTCGATATCGAAAAGATGCGAGTTCATAGAGCATACACAATGAAATAATAAATACTACGGGCCCCACGTCTGGTCGTGGCATAAGTTATTTTTACACAAATACTTCGTATGTGGAAATCGACGATTGCAAGTGCCTCTAGGCTTTTTGTTGTTGGCGTAAAATGTTCTTCTTTCTTTATCTCCGTCTATTTGGATCTGGTAAATATGTTTTGGGGCTAAATTATTGGTGTGTAGGTAATATACGATGGATGTTCCTATATATAAATGTTTTGTAGGTAATGGACTTCGGGTTTTTGTTCTCATATGACAATACAACACGATCTACATAAATTAATTATTATTTGATTTTATTTAAAACTTTATTGCACATACAAGACGAAATTAATTATTTTGTTTTCGGCTTCGCAGAATGCTACTTAATTACTACAAATTATTCCATCTAAAACATAAAATAAACCCACTAGAGAATAAAAAAACAATAGTAAACTAAACTAAATAAATACCAAAATAAATATATTTCATCAAATGATACCAAAACAATACATTCATTTACAAACTAAATATTTCATAAAACAAAAAAGCTTCACTACGAATTACTTATTTATTTTAACTAAAACATAGAAATGTATGAATTGATCGTTATCGATGACACAAAAATGATGGCTTCCACTAAAACATTGATTTTACTAACGAGCTACAAAACTCTTTGAGTTAGACTATTATAATTGAATCGAAATATTTGATTATTTTATTTGTAAATGTATTTGGAACATTAATGTCTGTCGTTTATTCATTACAGATTATTTTTTTGTTTGATTATACATACCTACACTTAGTATGTACAATCATGATGTTAAACAACTGGTCTTAGTTGGTCTATTTTGGTAAACTATAATATTATATTTACGATTGTTTTACCTCATCCGGGTGTTATATCTAACATTTTATAAGATCTTGTAGTCAATAAATGTGTAATCAATATGTAACCTTTTTTGAGGAAAGTGAGGTATAGTAGTGGTAAAATCATTTTTTCATTAAATCTTTTTCGTATAAAATAAATACGCATATTTTTTGCCGACTGATCCAAAATATAAGAAGAGCAAGAGTAAGTACTGTCGCGTTCAATCTAATTACTACATTATTTATTCAACCGTGAAATAATTAAAGCAATTACTGCTCATGGCGAACTTAAATCGTAATAATAGACGTGTAATGAACGAATTTAAATTTAAAACACAATCAAAGTGAAATCGTTTCATTCGACGCGACGCATCGTTTTACATGGGTACGTCAATTTATTTTAAACCGTTGTAAATTCTGCAAGGTAAAATTGTTGGTATTAAAAGAATAAAAACGGAAAATTGAACACAAAGACCATAAACGCTATAAATTATCTACAAACGCGATTCTAAAATGTTTTGAATTAGTATCGTATATTGTCGATGTGTATGTGTATCAACGTAGAAGGGAGGTGCTAAATGGTACAAAATTTTAGTCGCTCAGACAGAGGCCGGGCAATTAACACGTGCCCACCATAAACCGGTTGCCATGACAACGCGCGCTTTCGGCACACAACGTTAAACAAACTAATTGGCTAGCGCTTTTGTCAGCGGCTGTACCATAGTTGTGTGAATGTAAAATGATGAATGGATAATAGTGGCCATACTGATGAATGAATATTTTACTGCAGGTCGGGGCTTAAACACCTCTTTTTAATAAGCTTGAGCTGTAGTTCTGTGTAATCGACCTTTTATATCATTTCTCTATATGGTGTGAACGATATACGTTATATTTCAATAGCCTACACTTTTTATCTTTTTTGGACTTTGAATATATTTCAATAAAAAACTAAACCTCAATTTTAAATATCTATTTTCTTTGTTCCAGGAATGCTGAGGTCCACATTCGACCGACCAGACCACGAACGTAAGTACAACAAAACCTATACACAACATTATAACAATCCAGTGCAATGTATGAACGATTCGAAGGGAAAACAAAAATATACGGTGGAAAAATTCACACAAAAGGTTTCCGACTGGCGTAATAGCTATCAATTTTTTTCCATTCCGCGGACGCAGTATTCAAGAGATCAGTCACTTTTACACGGTAGCCCACCTGTCACTACCATTTGTTCCATTGAACTGTTCCCGAAAGAATATGACGAGGATTAAGTGTTAAAAGAATTGAAATAACACGATATAGACGGTGCCGCGGTAGTCTCTTTTGATAGTTCAGATGTGGGGGATATTTTTGGCAGAATTGCTTTCTTTTTTATATCAATTTCTTGGTATTAGTGTGATTTAAGGTGATATTCAACGTAAAAACATGAAAAAAATACGTATAACATCTTATACATTATCATACCAGACTATATCACAATATAATATACCGATTACATTACCCTTAAGCCCTCTCCATACAATAAACTTTAGTAATCAATACTCTCCGAAACACATACGTATATCAGGTAGGTACACATAGTACCACAATTTAATCAAACAAAAGATGCAATCTTCGTTTACATCCCGCAAACAAAGCTTTCGTTCACCGTCAACGAAACACGTTAGTTCCGATAAGATTACAGCTCATCCGTCAACGTCACTGTCATAATTTTCGATCGCTTTTAATACGAGAACCGATGGTAGGGGGCGAGATAAATAATAGCATGGTTTACTACCAAACAGAGTCGCAATTCGTCGCATAAATCAATGAATTTACACGTTTCCTGCTGTTCCGTATAAATATTGTGTGGATAATATACCTACTTGTCATACCTATATGGGAATCGAGGGAACTTTATTGGTTTAAAAAATGAAAAACGAGAGGCAATAACAAAAAGCAGCTTGAACAATAACTTTAATATTTGTATATGTATACCGTTATCTTATTGTGATGTCTTTACAAAACTTAGGATTGAGGTATATAAGAAGTGTATACAGTTTCTATACATCTAAAGCCGTACCCTAATACCAGGAGATCAGAAAATATGCTTCAATAGTACTGTGTTTAAAAGTATTGTTACGCAGCCACAATACTGCAGTGAATATTTATTTAAAACTCTACGTCTAGCCAGCACTACGTATTAATTTATTCATCCCTACAACTAGGCAGGCTTCTTTAGCAAAAACTTGCAACTTTTCCACACAACTTTGCCGTACTGGCTACTTTTTACAAACTTTTAGCATTCATGCATTAACAGTCTTATTGCAAAGTATTAGAGTTCATTGTTGTGAGTTTAGCATGTATTTAGAAGTTGGACTGCTAGTAATTATGTCAGAATGATTGATATTTTCAAGTATGGCGAGTTGGAACTTTGTGTAGCTATTTTTATTTTTACTTATAATTCATGCATGTCTTAGTTGGTATAACAAGGCGTTATCATAGCAAGTTTTGCGGTCTGTTCTAAAAGTTTCTTCATGGAATATAGTAATCTTGCATCCAAAATTGCATATCTCTTAATATTCTGAGTAGTTTACTTAATAGAATGGTCACAACCACGAGTTCTGATCTCTAGGTCATAATTTCGATTTACAGAACGTGCAAAAAGTTATTATTAATTGTAAATTTCCAAAAATTTCCTTCTCTAAAGTGTCTTCGAAAGGTTCTTTGTTAAGTTGTTGATGAACATCAACAAAAAAAGTACTGCTTTATGATGAAAAATGCCAAAGGCAATCGGTTCATTGCGGTCCGTCAGCCGCTCGTCGTTTCAATATATATTTTGTACGTAATTATATTTCGTGATAGGTCAGTGTTGGTGGCGCAACAAATATACAATAAGTTTACTACTTGTCTGCCTTGTATGGTTCGAAAAGCAAAGAAATGGATCAGATCCTTCTACTGGATCATCTGAAAATTATTTAAGCCTTTGACTGTTGGTCACCGGTCACCTACGTGGCGGTTAACGAGTTAAGAGTTGTTTTTTAACTTATTGATTAGTTCATCTATTTAAAAAACGAATGTTCTACACAAACTGCATGTTGCGAGTATACTATAAATCACTTCACTAACTCCTACTGAGAATAAATACACGAGATATAAATTTACTTTTTAATTTTACTACGAACACAGATCAAACCTCAGAACAAACTAAAGCTACGATACAAACACAATATATCTGTGTAACAAGAACAACACAATAAATTAATGAAAAGTGAGTCTCGTTTTCATTAAAATATATCCGCCTTAGGCGAATTACCTAACACCTAGGTAGGTTAGCAACTAGCGCAAACTCCTCACGCTAAACACGAAACTTTACGTTGAAAATCACTAACTTGTACTTGCTATCTAACTAGTAAACAATCGCTTCGAACGTAATTTGCCGGTTATAGTGTAATGGGCTCACAGTTAGAAGGATTCTTGTCGAGTTCCATCTTGTTTGTCGTTTTCCATTTAGCGAAACTATGTTCCTCCTGTTAATTACTCTTCGATCTCGCTTTGGTATTGTTGATAGAAAAATGTGCGGTTTTGTGTATTCTATTGTGTTGGTAATGGATTGTTTGATATGAGACTAATAACTAAGTAAATAAATTGCTTTGTAGAATACTAGTTAGTGTGTTCTCTTTTATCGTTAACAGGGTTCGCACAGACTGAGACCAGTGTTTGTTTTGTGAGTTCTATAAGTCATTAACAGCTACGGTAGTATTGTAGTTTCTTTTTAACTAAAAATTATGGGTTACTCAAGCTCTACTAATTTCGAGTCACAGAGGGACTTTGGCTCAAGAGGAGCTAGTTTCTTCTTTCACAAAATCAATGTTCGCTTGATAAAATTGACGTGTAAAAGTGCTGCCTTGTAGCCTATTTGCAGAAATAAATTCACTTGTTTCGCTTGAAAATGGTAGAATAATAATAGATGAGCCTTGAAAAGGTGACATAAATACCAAACGCGACATTTCATTATGCAGATCCAGTCAAATACATTGACAGAGAATGTGGTTGGCCACATTCCCTCTTTGTCTCATTGAAACACGGAATTAATCAGCACATACATTGGAATAGGTAGTAAAATTTCCATTTAGGCTAACAGTTGTGAGCCTATTCGGTGTTCGCGTTAGAAGCCACGTTCTAAAGCAATGTATCGAGTTAAAATGTGCACTGAACAGAAGTATGTTGTGCGTCCATTCATTGTATTATACTAACCTGTATCATTATCGTTATCAACAACCCGTCGGAGTTCACTACAAGACTAGAAACAAGAAAGAGACAGGGCTGGTACAGAATAGAATAAGCCGGTAATCGAATAGACGTGTCACCTTATGATAAGCAATCGGCGTCGCCGAAACACCAGAGATGTTAAAAGTGCGTTTGGCTTTTTGAGGATTAGGAATATGAGGATTGTTGGAGATTCGGGAATTGGGGAGGGGAGTAATTGGGAGTTCGGTAATCTCACTCACACAACGCAAGTTTTGTTTCACGTCGGTTTTCTGTGAGGCCGTAGTATCACTCCAGTCGAGCCGGCCCAATCATACCGAAGCATGGCTCTCCCACTCTTAAATCTATTCTGCTCTGAAATATATGCGTTGTAAATATATAAAGCATTGGATTAAATTGTGCATAGTACATAAACATGTTGTATGCAGAACATTGTACATTAGAATTTGTTTACTTTATAGCGTTACTGAGATATAGGTGAATGTGACACTCTTGTTTGTATGAAAATTTACTGCAAAATACAATCCCTAAGGGTTTGCGGTGGACGCTGTCGGTCCGGTTACTACTTTAACTCGTATCATCCCAACCATAGTAAAACATATCCAATATTTATGAAAATCGAATCTGGACATATTTTTAGATGTCTAATGAAACCTATTTGTCAAAAAAAAATATAACTCATTTAGATTTTTAGTTTCAGAACCGATCCAATAATGGAACACTAGGATTATACATGCATGTAAGATACTTTTACTGGCTATGGAATCCGTTTGGAAATAAAACTAGTATTCACCTTTTTTATTTATTAAATCTTATACAAATTAACGTATTTATTACATATTATAGTTATTACATAAAAAAACTATTATTAGGCATGTTATTCAGTATGAAAAATAATAGAACATTTGTTATGTAAGGCAACATTACATTTGATACACTTCATAGTTGTATTTTTGTGGCATAAACCACATCGAGTTTGTTTATTTTGTTTGTCAATTAGATGTCCTTTACCATCTAATCTAACAGCATCAGGCACACGTTTTATTACTGCTAGTGAAGATTTAGGATTTGATATGGTTGAAGTACTAGGGACTAAATTTTTCATTAGAAAATATGTACAAACAATATCCCTCGTAAACGATAAAAGATCATGTGGCGTACCGTTACTTTTCTTTGCAGCTGGAGATATCTTGTACAGCTGAAAAGCGTTATTGACAGCAACATTTAGTGGAAACATAAGTAACTGCCAGTACCATCTTTTCAGCCGAATCCCGATTCGATAACAACCCACGTTTTGGTCAAGTCGGTCTACGCCCCCCATATATTTATTGTATTTTACGAAGCAACGAGGTTGGTCAATATCCTTCTTCTGCTTATCACAGTATCGTTTGACTTTGCTTATGGGTTCTGAACCACATTGAGTCGAGGCCACTGTGACAATGTTATTGTCGTTATATCTAACGAGAGTGATATTAGATAGTACATCAGTACATTGGTGATAAGATCCTCTACTTGTTTTTTTCATTTCTTTTGGATCTTTGAGAGGTGCTTTCTCAGTTCGATTAGCTCGTATAGTCCCCGTTCCATCGTGACCCATTTTTTGAAGCTCTTCAAGCAGTGGTAATGATGTAAAAAAATTATCGAAATAAAAACTGTAGCTACCTTGCGGAAGCTTCGATATTAGGTCCAAAACAACTGAGGCACCAACACCTAACTCAGGATGCGTATTTCCGGTACTAGCTCCCTGATAAAGCTCGCCATAAATCAAGTAGCCA